GCCCAGATCCTTTGGCAATGAAGGTTTGGGTCACCTCACCAGGGAAAGAACCACGACCAGCTGATGTGTTGCTGAGGGCAAGGGATATACAGAATGGGTGGTGGAAGAAGTAGTTCTGAATATCAGCTATGACCACATGACCAGTTACAGAAACGAAGACTGTGATTGTTATATTTCTTCATTGCATATGTGCATCAAATATTTTTGTTTCCTTCTGTTATGAACTGTGAAATGTAAATACAGTTAGTGCATGTCAGTTGTACGTGTGTTAGCATACCATGTTAGGTGCAAATATGACTTTATAATTGTCCTTATTTAGAGATTATATATGGTTAAGAAGATGTATTCAACTGCCAAATTGACAAGGGGTGGACTGTGATAGTTGGAGCTGTGTGTCAACTTGGCTGGACCACAGTTCTGTGTGGTTTAAGCAATTGTGATGTGGGTTGTTCCCATGATAGTATCGGATGTGTATGTTTTGAGTAGCCAGTCCATTGAAAGGGAGTTTCCCAGGGGTGTGGCCTGCTTTCAGTATATTTATGGGCATCCTGGGAAAAGAGACATTCTTCTGTGGATCAGGATTCTGTTGTGCTGCCTACAACTGTCTGTAAGCGAATGAGCCACCATTTGGCTTGGAGATCTTGGATTTGTCATTTGTTGGAATCAACAGCCAGTATACTGCCTGCCAACCTTGAGCTCGTCAGCCCCTGCAGCTGCGTGAGTCAGGAAAAGCTTCCAGCTTGATATGTGATACAAGAACTTGGGACTTGCCAGCTTCTATAAGTGTGTGAGCTATTTTCCTAAGATAAATTTCTCTTTATCTCTCTCTGTATATGTAAGTGTTACTGGTTTTGCTTCTCTAGAGAACCTAGTCCAACACACAAGGCTAGAAGAAACCCAAGTGTGGATAAGTGGGACGAAAGGATGAAGTCAACAGATAGTAAATCAGAATGTTTTACTCTGAAGCCAGCCTGTTCTCCTGGAGGAGTCCTTATAGAGGGATAGTTTGTTACTCTACCACCCATCTTGTCAGTTTGTTGTATTTTGGTGGTTTGCATGTTGCTGTCTACTTCTGTAAAGATCTGTAGCCTTGGAAACGCAATGAGGGTCTCTGTGAATCCGAATTGACTCGGCAACAGTGGTATCATGCTGGAAGCCATGCTACGAGTATTTCAGATACCAGCAAGGGTTACCCATGTGACAGGTTTCAACGGAGCTTCCAAACTAAGACAGACTAGGAAGAACGGTCTGATTCTACTTCTGAAAATTAGCCAATGAACACCCTGTGTATCACAATAGGATATTGTCTGATTCAGTACTGGAAGATGATCCCCCTAGATTGGAAGGCACTCAAAATACACAGTGGGTGCAGTAATGGACTTGAGAATACTTAACGATCTTGAAGATGGCACAGGACCAGGCAGTATTTCTTTCTGTTCTATATAGCGTCACCATGAGTCAAAGCCACCTAGATGGCAACTAACATCAAAATATCTCTGGCTGAGGGTGGGCTGAGGTTGAGGGACTTGAGGGAAGGGGAAAAGTCTTAACTAGTTTGGTTAACAACCATTTTGTTTCTGATTGGTTATTGGAAACAAGCAATTCAGTTATGTATTTATGAGGCAAGAAATACGAATTTGGAGGGTCTGTGTCTGGCCTCAAGGAGCTCTGGTAGCATAGTGCCTAAGGCACTTGACTGCTAACCAGAAGGCTGGCAGTTCAAACCCACCAGCCACTCCTCGGAAGGAAGGTTGGGCAATCTACTTCCGTAGTGATACTGCCTCGGAAACCCAAGGAGGGGTCGCTGGGAGTCGGATCCGACTCGATGGCAGTGCATATATCCGGCCTCAAGGAGCTCTGGTGGTGCAGCGCCCAAGGCATTTGACTGTTAACTGGGAAGTTGGCAGTTCAAACCCACCAGCTGCTCCGTGGAAGGAAGGTGGGGCGATTTACTTCCATAAAGATTTACCACCTTGGCAACCCACTAGGGGTCGCTATGAGTCAGAATTGACTTGATGGCAATGAGTTTGGTTTTCTTGGTTTATGTCTGACCTCATTTGATTCATAGTGAGACTCTAGGACAGTAGAACTACCTCGTAGGGTTTCCAAGGCTGTCATCTTTACAGAAGCAAGCTGCCACATATTTCTCTTCTGGAGTGGTTGGTAGGTTCACACTGCCGACCTTTCATTAGCAGCTGAGTGCTTTACCACTGCACCACGAACTCCTTATGAGTCTGTATTACTTGATGGCTAAGAGTTTTATTTGAGCCTTCGTGTCAGGCCTTGTCATAGGTAACAAGAGGGCATCGTGAGTCTTACCTAAGTCATACAGGAAGAGTGCTTATTTCCAGTAATCCGTTTTCCTGAACACAGAGGTGTTGAGGAATATCATTAGCCATTGCTGTGTTCACAAGATTCAGGTAAGAGTCAGTATTATCAAGTGGTGTAAGAGGGCCTTGTACAGAAAAGCTTTCCTTACATTTTGTAACAAAACTTTTCTAACTAGAACTTACAGACTTCTATGTTTCTTTGAATTTTAAAGGATGCTCAAGATTTTTTCAAGACAAAAATATTTTAATATTGTGTTTTTTCTTCAGGGTTTGAAAATTAAGGATATTCTGGCTCATATAGGAAATCGTTTTTTAATTTAATGAAGCCACAGGGATTTGGTGGTGCTCAAGTCTGCCCTTGTGTTTTTATTTTTTTGGCTCCAAATAAAATTACTGGGGAGAATGAGAAAAGAAGAGAGGGGAACTTAATGTGGAAATGATACTCCGAGCCAAGGGAAAGGGGAATGATGTCATCTTGTGGTAGCTCAATGAAGATTTCACAGTAGTCTGAATAGAGCCCTGATCTCAAACTTAGAGGCATATCAGAATCACTGGAAGGGCTTATTAAAATTCCATTCCTAGAATTTCTGATTCAGAGGGTATGGGGTGGGTTCTCATTTGCATTTTTTACAAATTCCCAGGTGTTGTTGATGTTGCTGGTCTAGGGACCACAGTTTGAGAACCACTGGAGTAGAGAAAGGTGGTGGAAGAATTAGGTAATGACATGGCACCTGCCAGGATAGGCTCATTTCAAAGGAATAAGCGCTAAGACCTCTGTCCTAACTATTAGCACCATAATTATGGTGTGAATGGTGATTTAATTTGAGCAAAACAGAATAGTTAATTACTATTGTTAGCTTGAATTTAATTGGTTTTGTAATTTTGTTTTTGTATTTAATATATAATTTATTTTTCTTTTTATAGTTATATAAATTACAAAGATCATTAATTTATTGTGTTTTATGAGTGTATGCATTAGGTTTATATTATAATAAAAATAATTTTTAGTCAGGATTTGGGGATTATAGAATTATTTTCCTTTAAAAGGAAGAGAATTAAATTTGTCAGACTGCATTTATAGAAATGTAAGGCTGTGTCAATCTTCTTTTCCACTTCTACTTCTCGGTAAAAAAGCTTAAGTGTCAGTAGAAAACATCATAATTTGGATTAAAGGGAAGGCCACCCTGAATTAGAGGAAAACCTGAGCTGTATAAAAAAGACAAAAATATGATAGAGTTGATAACTTAATCATGGCTGACAAAGGGTAGCTACATAGTGGATTTAATGTTACCTTGTTGTTGTTGTTGTTATTTGCTGTCGAGTCGGCCCTGACTCATAGCGACCCCTCCTTGGGTTTCTGAGGCAGTATCACTACGGAAGTAGGATTGCCCAACCTTCCTTCCGAGGAGTGGCTGGTGGGTTTGAACTGCCAGCCTTCTGGTTAGCAGTCAAATGCCTTAGGCACTATGCTACCAGAGCTCCTAATGAATGTTACCTTAATGACTGTTAAATCAGTGGTGCCTACCTCTGATTTCACATCAGAATCATTCCTGGAATTTGAAAAACCTGTGAATGCCATTGGTCCTTTATTAAATAAAAATTGAATTGGGGCTTCTGGTTTTTTAAGTTCCGTTATACTTAGGATACACTACAAAACTTCAAGACTCTGTATGAATAGAGCTAACAGGAGGCAAAGTTATGATAACTTCTTAGCCACAGCCAAACACCTCAAGGGGTGAGTTGCTAGGCCCCATGGGCTCAGGACCATGGTTGCAGGGGAATGAAGCTTAGTTGGCATAGTATACTACACAAAAACATTGTTCTCTATCCTGTTTTGGTGAGTAGAGACAGGGTTCTTAAAAGCTTGGGAGTGGCCATCTAAGATGCAACTATTGGTCTCTCCTTTTCTGGAGCAAAGAAGAGTGAAGAAATCAAAGATGCATGGAAACAGTCCAAGGGACTAGTGGATCATAGTCTACATGACCCTAAGGCCAAAATAACTAGATGGTTCCTGGCTACTACTGCCAACCACTTGGAAAGGGATCAAAATAGGAGATCCTGGATAGAGTGGGAGAAAAATGTGGAACAAAACTCAAATTCATAAAAAAGATCAGGCTTATTGGTCTGATAAAGCCTGGTGAAACCCTTAAATCACTCTTTATGCCTGGAATTGAACTCACTCCTGTGTCCTGACTTTCAGCTAAATAATAGATAGGCATATGAAGTGAATAGTTACACCAAGTAGGTAACACTCTTTAAAACAATCAACCATGGGAAATCAGAAGGGCAGCATTTGTGCAGGGAGAAAGCTCAGAGGGCAGGAATACATAGGGAAGGAGGTCACAGGGAAAAGGTAACCACACGGAATAAGTGGGAAGAGAGGTGTTGCATAGTAGGGATTCCAGTCAGTGTCACAAAGCAAAGTGTGTATGAACTGTTGTATGGAAAATGAATTTGCTCTGTAAACTTTCATCCAAATCACAATAACAAAAAGAAAAAAAGGGCTCTGTATGAGCTGTTCCTTATTTCTTTAGACTCATTTCATACTTCCTCCTTCCCCCTTACATAATTTCAAGACAAAAATGGTTGAATAACTACTTTATTACATGATGTGCAGAACTACTGAAAATGCTTTCATAATATTGATTTAAATTTTATATATTCTTTCAGGTGTTATGAATGTGATGAAAAATTATCAACGCATTGTAATAAGAAGATTTTGGCTCAGATAGTTGATTTTCTCCAGAAATATGTTTCTAAAACACAAGCAAGTAAGTCGAACAATTGCTAAATGAATTTGTATTATAATATTTCATATTTTATATAAAGAGCTTATAAATTTACAAAGATTACTTTAGATTTTACTATGATTTGAGTAAAGAGGTCCTGCATTCTTAAGCTGCAGTCTTAATAATGTTACCATTTTGCATTTATGTAGCCAACATGAGAAATAGGAGAGCATGGTGAAAAGGTCATGGATTTTGGAGTCAGTCAGTTCTGAGTTTGGATTTAGATCCAACCATTTACTGGCCATGTGGCTTTTACTCTTTAATATCCTAACTTATAAAATGAGGATGATAAGTCTACCTTGTGGGATTATGAAGTGTAGAGATAATATTTTTTAAAATTTAGAAATAATTATGTAAAAAACTTGCATAATGCCTGACCTAGATTTATTAAATGCTATCTGTTATTATTTATTGCACAATGTGTATTAAAATATGTGTTATCAAGTGTACTTACAGTTTACTGGAAGAGACAGTAAAATAAACAAATACACAATAGAATTTCTGGTGAGTGCTACAATGGATAGGAACAGATTGTGGTGATAGGTGATAATCCAGTGGTCCTATAATCAAAAAAGGCCAATATAGCCAAGTGGTTTGCTGAGGAGAGTAGAATGAGATGAAGTGAAGCGATAGATGGTCAAGTCATGGAAGATACTGTAAGGACTTCCATGGTAAAAGAAGTTTTATTTTATTCGAAGGGTTGTTGTTGTTGTTGTTGTTATGTGCC